AAAAAAAAAAAAAAAAAAAAAAAAAGCTAGAATTTTCGTAGACAAACAGACACAACAAAGGTAAGTACACAAGCAATCTAATTTAATAAACAAAAGTTACCTTCTCAAACAGCTCTTCGAAATGATGGAATCGCAGAGAAATCTCAGAATTTGGGGACGAAGGCGTGAAATTTTGCGGCAATGGAGACTGATTGAACTGAAACGACGTAGTATTAGCACCGCGGATCTAAAAGGGCCTAAAGAAGGCCTATAAACTTGATTTTGCTTTTGGGCCCGTTCCCTTATCTCTACTATACATATAAGCAAACAATGGGGGACAATTCTCAGACTGACACGTGTCCTTTTTTTGACAAAATTGTCCTTCATCTTATCCATTTATTACAGTTTTGCCATTAAATTTATTTATTGTTAATAAATGGGTCACAGTCTGATCAGTTCCCTCATTTTACGCGTACGTTACCTCGCTCGGGGAAGAAGAAGAACGTGCTCTTCCCTCATATTTCTTGTACCCGAAAAATCTGATCTGCTTTTTACTTCTTTCTTCCTTTTACATAAATCTCGCGCATATTGAGACACACAAAATATCTCCCTTTTTACAAACCCTACCCAAGAAGCAGCGGAAATCAAGAAGCAGTGGCGATGGGCTGGGCAGATCCGACGGTGGCGGCTGCAGCGGCGTCTTCCACGTGGCCACGGCGTTGGACTTCGAGGAGAGAGAGAGAGAGAGAGAGAGAGAGAGAGAGAGAGAGAGAGAGAGAGAGAGAGAGAGAAAGAGAGAGAGGTGAAGGTCCAATGGGTCACCACCGGGACCCAAGAATCCTGCTGCCGGCCGACTCGAGAACCTTGCGTCGCATTCTCTACACCTCCACCCCTGGCACGACGACCTTTACTGTGGATGAGGAAATGTTCAAGGAAGTTATCCACAAGTAAGTTGTTCGGAGATTTTTTGCCTTAGTTTTCGCAATTGACATTTGTGCGTCTGTTGGTTTACCAAAAGAGGGCCCTTTGTCGAATAATCTGCTATCAAGAGCAGATTTCATCATTACTGCTCTTATTATTTTATCGCAAATAGGACTCAAGCCTCAACAGTACTTAATTGTTTGATAGAACGTGTATTTAGTTTCATTGTTCTAAAAATATGCACTTGTGTTCGTGCTTCTTCAGGTTCCAGTTGTACAGATCCTTCTTGGGCCACTTGGTTTGGTCTCATCATACCAAATGTAGTTTATTTGGAGATATGTGGTGGTTGGGTAGGTTATAGCAGCCGCTATACTGACCTCATCCACTGACCCTGTTACTCAAATGTTGCTTGCTTGCGGGGCCTCTCATGGGTCTGTATTTGTGTGCTGCCTCAGTTGTTAAGATTCTTGGCCGATGATATTCTACATTTTGGTTTGGTCCCTGTTTTTGGTTGGGTTTGCTATTATGTGGTTTGGAGATCTAAATTCCGGTATGTTTAGGGATTTGTCTATGCTTTGTTAGTATAGTTTAATTTTTGGGTATTTACTTCTTCAATTTGTGATTTTTTTGTTCTTCGAACGAGGTTGCCGTCGGCGAGAATCAAACCAGGAAAGTTTATTGTTTTACATTCTCCCTGCAATTTCTTGTTGCTGCTCTTTTGGTTAAGCTTTCTAAATTATTTTGTTGTCTGGTTTGTCCTGGTTTTTTCTTACAGTATTTGGTTTGTCCTGGTTTCTACAACCTTAGCCCCACCCTTTGGTATTTTTTTCTAACGTTTGTGTCTCTAATTTTGTGTACTGATTTGCAGGTCACATTTGTGCAGGAGATATTCAACTATTAAAGTTTGGTTAGAGTTTTTTCGAAAATCTAAAAGGTTCATATCTGCATCTGTATCCGTGTGTGTCATCTATAATGGTCAGCCAAGGTTTTTGTAGATTAATGTAAAATTTGTCTCGATTTGCAGGTGTGTGTTCATGGGAGACTTTTAGATCAACTTCCTTGTTAAGAAGATTGAAAGTACATTTCAGAAACAAAATTTTGCCATGAATATCTTAATGCTAGCGTCTGAAAAATTCTTCACCTCTACGATTTTGTGTTTTCTATAAATATTTAAAGGTAACTTGATTCATCATCTAAGCAAAGTGAAAGAGAAAATAAAAAAAAAATTGAATCTCAGAGATGATTGATCCATATGCTCTTCGTGACTGATGAAATTTCTTATTTTTGTAATTGTAGATTAAGACGGCATTGGTCGATGTACTATTTGTGACCGTACGACCAGGGGAGGAAGATGACGACGGTGGAGAAGCTGTTGGTTCAGATATTCTAGAGGAAGAATTCGATAATCGAGCAGGTGAAACAACAGACGTGTTTGTACAACCAACACCTCGCTTCCAAACTCATTATTGATGGAATCAAACTCCCTCTTGGATTTGGTGCCCCAGCGCCTCCACGGACTCGATTGGTATTTTTCATAAGCTATGGATTATTGGGCTTTGTTGGATATAATATTCAGAATCGAGTTTAATTAGATTAACTAATGCAATGCATATCATCTATAACTTGATTCTGGATTCATATAACTTAGGCTCCTCCGGTGCTGCCGTCGTGGGCGTCGGGCCCTTCATCTGTCCACAGTGGCCCGATTCGATTCGAGTATTCTCCTCCTATATCTTTATTTACCATATTTGTTTCATTGTGGTGGACATGATGATTAAAATAGGTAGCTATCAAATTAATCTTTTTTTTTTTTTTTTCTTTTTTGGTCTCATAATATATACTTATCTATCAAATCTGTACTTATCTTAGTTTTGGGTGATTGATGAACTTATGGAGGTTTTATCAGCTTGTAAAAAGGCGATGTGTTGTCCGGAACATATGATGTGTTCAGTTTCATTACAGAATATCTTATTAGAGAATTGCTTTGGATCTTGTTTTAATTGAGAAGCTTTCTTGCACTGTACTATAAATATATTGGCAATATATGACACCTTATTATGGATTGATTTATGAAGATTTATTGGTGCATGAGAGATTCATGAGCTTGCAAGTGATAGTATGTTTTCTTTCCAGAATATTCAGTTTTCTATAAAAGTGAACTTATCCAATTAATATGCACTTCAGAATCGTAGTAAGGGAAAAAATAAAAAGGAAACTCACCTTGTATTGTTGGGATAAAGTTGCTGAAATCATAGTATACTTAATTATTGGTCCTTTTTATCAAAAGAATTTTGAAAGTCGTGTCTCTTCTTCCCATTCAGCTAATTCTTCCTTAAATTTTTGTCTTTGCAGATTCATTGAGATACACGCCTACTTTATCTGTGGCACTTGTTGTAGTGTTCCTTATTATAACTGTGGGCATCACAGTCTTCAAGTTGACAAACGGAACTACTCTGTCTGATGCCTCAGTTATTTCCAGATGTCAACAATCTAACTCATTCCTCAACCTCTTCACTATCGTTCGTCTTCTTGCCACTACTTATATCTTTCACTACAATGGTATGCATTAATTGTTTTTGAATTTTAAACCTTCTTCTTTCACATTTTGCACTTATCGAGGGTCTCTTTGAAGTAAAAAAAAAAAAATAACTCTCCACCTGAAGTTTTTACTGGTGACTATAAGGAAATATTTCTTTGAAGGACCCGGTTTTCATTTGTTAGTTTTATCTCAGCTTGGACTCATTTTTTTCAGCTTTCTCAATCAGCTTGGGCTCATTTGTTAGTCTTATGTCACACATCTATTGTTCTAGGTAGTTTCTCGAGTTCAATCATGGCAATTAAAAATCCACTAAAGGAGTGGATTCGATTGGATGGATGCTATAAATCTACGAGGCTGTTAACCTATTGGCCTATTTAGTATAATGACGAACGAGGGTTACAATAATGTAGTGACCATCAGGACGAAGAAGTTCAAATACACCTCTGTACATTTCATGCCGTAGGCTATAGTTTTTATTGTTTTTCTACATTTTTTTTTTTTGTTTTTGGGTATGTTAGCCAGGCAAACTTCCTTCCGTACAGGATAAAACACGAGAAGATGAACTGGTTGTCGTCGCGTTTCTCAGACTGAACAAGTTTCAAATCAAGAAGCTCTGGGGCACTGCGATTTTAAAATTTCGTGAGTCACTTTTATTATTTTATTTTGAACCCAAATTTAGATTTGATAATTTTTGTTCAGGATTAGGATTATAGAGTTAGTCACCATTATTGCGGTAATACACCTTCTCTTAAGGTATTGAGAGTCTGACAGTGTTCAGTTTGTTCAAGCATAATTGTCCTACATTTTCAGTTATTTTTACGAAAATGAGGACAAAAGAACCGTGTTGTGGGTGCTACGACTTTGAATGTTCGGAGCAGCAGATTCCATAGGTTATTATTGTATTGGACCATTTAACTGTACTGTTATTTGGTATAAAATCTAATGTTTTTTAGTAAAATTGAAGGCCTTTGTTGCAGTATTTTGACAGTTCATGTTCGGGGAAAAGATCTGGTGTCAGGTTCAATATTAAATGGTTTCCTTCATTTAGTTGATCTAGCTGAGAGTGAAAGAGTGGATAAATCTGAAGCCGTTGGTGAGAGACTAAAGGAAGCCCAACATATTAATAAGTCGCTCTCTGCACTTGGTGATGTTATTGCTGCACTTGCACAAAAGAGTTCTCATATACCTTACAGAAATAGCAAGCTCACT